CCAGAGCCCTTCCCTTCGAGATCTGGATGTTCAGAAGGGCAATCTTAGCACTTCCAGAGGGGAGAGAAATAATTTCCTATGTGCTTATAAGATGCCTTTAATTATTATTATTATGGCAACTGTCAATCTTTTGTGATCATTATGAAAAGCCAGAAGTAACTAAAATGTTAAACGTACTAAAATATTTGTATAGTTAATCCTCCTTATACTATACAATGTATAAAGTTCTGAAATGGGAATGACTCACATAAATAATAGAAGGAATGCACCAAATGAGATACACAAAAAAAATGTAAAACAGATAAGCTTCCAGAGAGGGAGCAATTTCTTGCTTTCTGTATTTGAGTTTTGTATCTTTGAGCCCAGTGGCAGGGAACACGGGAGGGGACAAATGATTCATCATGACCATATTATGCTCTTAATGCTGAATCTCCACTCTAGCTCAGTGATGTACCAAGAGACATTTCACCTATAAGTATGGAGGAAGGAAAAGAGTTGATTTTTTTTAAAATGAGAAAGAGGTGCTTAAAAGGATAGGACAGACTTCCTTGGTGTCCAGAGATGTTCCTGATGTTTTGTAGCATGTCCCAATAACCCAGCTTTAGCATTTGCCACATGGCTGCATGAGGATTGACTTGCTAGCCAGGACTCAGTCATGACTCAGGTTAAAGGCAAATAAAAGTATATGCTTATGGTATCCATACAGGCATGATGAGAATGATTGCAGTAGAGTAATGCTTCCATGGTACCAGTTCTAGTGCTTATCATACACACACAGGCCACTTCATTTGAATGGTCCCAGCTTGCCAAGTGATGCAGCTCTCTTTACAACTCCTCTGCTCTCATAAGTGTTTAACACTCTGCCAATACCTTTCTCCGTGAGTTTTGCCCACAGTCTCCTTATTCTCGTTTACTGAATAAGTTATTGAATAACATCTGGCTTAGAACTGACCCCTGGGAGATTCTGCAGAGGAGTCTTCAGCAGTTTCACAGCAGCTACTTTTGAGGCTGTGTTTTATTTATTTATTATTTTTTATTTTTTTTTATAACCAAGGTGCCCTACAACCTGAACCCGAAAGTTGCAGCCTACTGCACTGGCACAGCACTGTTCACTGTAGCCTCATTAAAGATTGAAAGAACGTTTGTTTGTTGTGACCATTTTGCACAAACCCTAGGTGAATCTTGCCCATGAGCCTGAGCTTTTCATTTTCCTGACCAGCCTCTTCCATCTGCACCTGCAGTTGTCCTTGAGCTGCCCGAGCTGCTGGCCATTGCTGGGGGCTATGCCCAGCAGTACAAAGCCGTGCAGCTGCACCTGCACTGGGGTTCTCCGTCAGGACCTGGCTCGGAGCACACCGTCAATAACCACTGCTTCCCCGCAGAGGTAAGGAGCTCCCGTTCCTCCTCGCTGCCCCTCTGCATCCTTGCCTCTGTTGGCATCTGCGTGGAGAAGGTGCTGTCCCGCAGCTGTGCTTGCTGCTGGGTGAATGGCTTTTGGTGAGGATCTCTGCTCCTGCTCACCTCTGCAGAGGCAGAGTCTAGCATAGGAGAGCACCAGCAGCACCTCAAGGGAGAGCCAGGTCTGTGATGTAGCCTGCAACCCAAAGGTAGCCCTCAAGGACCCTCTACTCGTGGTGGGCTGGGGCAGAGCTGGCCTGCAGCAGGCTCGAGGTGAGCAGGAGGGGATGGGCATGCAGCCCAAATCCGCCTGACTTGCCCCAAGACAAGGCAGATGCTCCTTCGGGCAGTTGAGCCTGTTCCCCTGCACTGCAGCCCGGTCCTGGGCTGATGGAGCAGGAGCTGCAGCCACCCCTGGCCAGGGGCAGCCAGTCTGCTGCAGAGGGCTGTTTACTCTGTACACAAACTGTTTTCTTTCTCTGCTGGTTCCTATCTGGTTTTCTCCCTCCTTCTCCAGCACTTGTCCTCAAACCAAACTCAGCTCTGCAGTAAGTCCCCCTTCCTCAGTGCTGGTTTGCTGGCTGTAACCAGGGAGGATACAGTGGGAACACTTCACGCTTGTCAGCTTTCACCAGCACGTTTTCCTGGCCCCACCAGTGTGCTTGGTCACCACGAGGGATGTTCAGCATGGGTTCATGGCTCTGCCACCCTTGCTGTGCCAGGCTGGCCATGTGGAGCCCTGTGGCTGCAGGCACCACCTGGAGGTGCCTGCACTGCATCGGGGCTTGTACCTTTGCCTTCCAGATCCACATGGTCCACTACAACACCAAGTATAACAACTTTAAGGAGGCCATGGTCCACCCCAATGGCCTGGTAGTGCTGGGAGCCTTCCTGGAGGTGAGGCTGATAGCTCAGCCTGGGCAGGAGGGGTAGGAGAGTGATGGGGAACAGGACGTGGGTGGGCAGAGTCGGCCACAGCTCTGGGGACAGGCAAAGGTGCAAAAGTGCCTGGGGAGAAATAAATTGAGGGCAGGGTGGCCCTGATGGCAAGAAGGGGGCAGACTGGAGCAGGGTGGCTCATGCTGGGAGCAATTACTTCCTGCTGGCACTGCCATCGGCTGCCTGTCCCACTTTGGTCTCTGTTCTTCAATTCTGTGGGGGCTCTGTATTGCGGGTTGGGCCCAGGGAGAATCTGTACTATCGGCAGATACTTGAGCACCTGTACAGAATTGAAGGAGAAGGTAAGGCCCTGTCCTACCTAGTGCTTGTCCTGAGGTGCAGCAGCTGGGCAAGGAAGGGGAGCATTGCACAGCCTGTGCAGAAACAGCTTTGCAAGGTGCCCTCTGCAGCGCTTGCATGTGGTTTCTCCTGACTCCAGGGCAAGTTACCTGCTCCTGGCTCAACCGTGTTACAGCCAGGTAGCTGGTTCCCTGGGGAATGTGGTGCAAGGGCTTGAGAGATGTCCCGTCAGGTGTGTTCCAGGGACCCCATGCTGTGGTGCTCTTCTTGTCCGAGATTTTGTGCCCTGGACACAGTGTTGCTCCATGGTGGGACAGAGCTCTTCTAGATAGCCTGGCCTTCCAGCCAGGTCGCGTGCACTGCCCGGGTCCAAGGGGCTGCACTGCTCTGACTCTGTTACTTCCTCTCACAGATGAAGAGGTCTTTGTGCCTGGATTCAACATCGCAGGCCTGCTGCCCTCCAACCTGAACCTCTACTTATGCTACAATGGCTCTCTGACCACCCGTCCCTGCTACCAGACGTTGAAGTGGACGGTCTTCAACCAGACCGTGCAGCTCTCTCAAGATCAGGTCTGTCAGGGCCCCATGCGCTCGGCCGGCCCTTGCGCAGCCTCTGGAGCAGCCCCTGGAGCAGGCAGGGGCTCTGCTCCTCAAGGCAGGTGCCTCTGCTCTGCTCACACCATTCCTGCCAGATCTCCCAGCTGGTGACAACCCTGAGAGGGGATGATGACAGCCCCCTGCAGGACAATTTCCGAGGGATTCAGAAGCTGCACGGGCGACATTGGGTCAGAGAGCACCTAAGGAACCTCGATACCCACAAATCCATGGGCCCTGATGGGATGCACCCCAGAGTGCCGCGGGACCTGGCAGAGGTCATAGCTAAGCCGCTCTCCATCATCTTTGAAAGATCCTGGAGAACGGGGGAGGTGCCGGGAGACTGGAAGAAGGCCAATGTCACGCCAGTCTTCAAAAAAGGCAAGAAGGAGGACCCAGGCAACTACAGGCCAGTGAGCCTCACCTCCGTCCCCGGAAAAGTGATGGAACGGCTCATACTGGC